TCGCCGCCCCCGCCCTGCTCCCCAGACCTATCACAGAGTCCATAGACAGGAGAGCCCTATACTCCTGTAGACACTACGTGCTCCTATTGATGCAGGCCAAAATCCCATTGGCTTTTTTTGCTGCCGCATCACATTCCTGGCTCATGTTCCCCTTCCTCCCCACGAGGACTCCAAGATCTTTTTCACACACCCCGCTCTCAAGCCAGGCCTCATTGTCCCCCATTCTGTATCTTTGCATTTCGTTTTTTCTGCCTAAGTTGAGTCTCTTCCATTTGTCCCCGTTGAACTTCATTTTGTTAGTTTTGGCCCATACAGTGTTTCCTCCCTTGTTGTGGGGGTTATGTACCAGGAACTCCTGCAATAAGTGGAAAACTGCGATGTAGGAACGCTATATTTATTTTAATATACATTACTAGTTGTACCTGCCACATGTTGCTGTGGCCAAGCTTCCTTCCTTCCTTCCTTCCTTCCTTCCTTCCTTCCTTCCTTCCTTCCTTCCTTCCTTTCTCCTTCTTTTCTCCTTCTCTCCTTCCTTCCTTCTCTTCCTCTTCCCTTTTCTTTCCCTTCCTCTTTTCCCCCTTTCTTCCTTCCCTACCTATTCTTGGACTGCATCACCCAGCAGTCCTCCTGATCCATCTATCTACCTACATATCTCTAAACTTTTTATGTGGAGGATTGCTGGCTAATCTCTCTACCTGGAGGATTGCTGGGAATTGCAGTCCAGGAATAGGAAATTGGAACTATGCAGGGATTGGGATGCTCTCAAAGAAATCCAAGAAGAAAGCTTGCAGCTTGGAAGCAGTGCATTTGGATCACCCTCCTCTCCTAAAGGGCCTGGTCTAGGGGATGCTGGGAGCTGTAGTCTGGAAGAGAGTGTGGATATGCTATTGTGTGTATTGTCGAAGGCTTTCATGGCCAGAATCACTGAGTTGTTGTAGGTTTTTTCGGGCTATATGGCCATGGTCTAGAGGCATTCTCTCCTGACGTTTCGCCTGCATCTATGGCAAGCATCCTCAGAGGTAGTGAGGTCTTTTGAACTAGGAAAAAGGGTTTATATATCTGTGGAATGACCAGGGTGGGACAAAGGACTTTTGTCTGCTGGAGCTAGGTGTGAATGTTTCAACTGACCACCTTGATAGCATTTGATGGCCTGGCAGTGCCTGGGGCATTGCCTCCAGAAGCCGGAGATAGAATCATAGAATCAAAGAGTTGGAAGAGACCTCATGGGCCATCAAGTCCAACCCCATTCTGCCAAGAAGCAGGAATATTGCATTCAAATCACCCCTGACAGATGGCCATCCAGCCTCTGTTTAAAAGCTTCCAAAGCTTCCAACAGATTGTTTACTCTCTGTTGTTCTGCTGTTGTAATTTTTGAGTTTTTTAATACTGGTAGCCAGATTTTGTTCATTTTCATGGTTTCCTCTTTTCTGTTGAAATTGTCCACATGCTTGTGGATTTCAATGGCTTCTCTGTGTAGCCTGACATGGTGGTTGTGAGAGTGGTCCAGCATTTTATTTGAGAACACAGAAATGCTGGACCACTCTCACAACCACCATGTCAGGCTACACAGAGAAGCCATTGAAATCCACAAGAAGCTCAGGAGTTCTGCGCCCCACCGGGTTATACCGATAAGGTGTCCGCGCTAAGTCCAGCGTCAGAGGTAGCCTGGCCTCTGTTGCCTGGAAACGTCAGGAGAAAATGCTTCTAGAACACAGCCATACATCTCGGAAACCACACAGCACCCCTGTAACAAAATTATGAATAATATTCAAAACAAAGCAAACGGAGGCCGAAATGCAGTTGCTTTCTCTTTATAAGACAGGAGGGGCCTTATGAGTTTCAAGGGTGGGGTCTGGATCCCAGAGGAGACTTCTTGTTGCTGCTTCACTCAAGATGAGTTTGCTCTTCCTCCGCGATCTCCTCCAGCATCACGGTGTCCGGCCGGCCGAAGTTTGTGTCGGGCGGCTACTACTCCATGGTGGCCGCGGCCTGGCCGCGGGGGTCGTTGGCCCAGGGCTCCCTTCCGGTGGAGTAGCCCAAGCCCTTGAGGCGCAGGAGGAACCAGGGGATGAGGACGGGGGCCTCGGCCAGGAGCGCCTGCAGTCCCTGCTCCATCTGGACCCACGCCTGGATGGCCTTGGGGTTGGACATGGCGGCCACCATCTCGGGGCTCTGCATCTGCTGGGAGAAGTGCAGCTCCTGCTGCCGGACGCGCTCCGGGTCGGCCCCGCGGGCCCCTTCCGAGGCCAGCAGAGCATCCTGCATCAGGGAGAACATCATGCGCTTGGTGTAGGCATTGCAGAGGTGGACGATCATCAGCGGGATCTCCGCAGGGTCCGGCGGATGGAGGCCCTCCGGGTTGAAGGGCCCAAACCCAGGAGGGGGTCCCACGGGGGAAGGCGTTGGAAGGCTGTGCCCGATGGGGCTGGAGAAGGTGTTGAAGAGGCTGGCCCCATCGTCGCTGACGTTGGTGCAGACACTGGTAGCGCTTTGGGAGAAGCCCAGGGGCCTGTGGGGCTCCTCCATGGGGGCCCGCTGTCCTCTCAGGCCCAAGGGCTCCGGACGGGTGTCACGCACCATTGTGGAGTAGCAGCTGGACACGGCAAAGGGATCTGAAGCCGCGTTGGGAACCGGCTCCTGGATCTCGCTGTTGAGCCGCCTTAAAGGGTTGTCTCCACCAGGGATGTTTCTGGGGAGGCTGACCAGAGCCTGGTCAGGGCCCTTGGGGTCCGGCGGTGGCGGTGTTACTTCGTGGCCCTTGGCCATGTCCACGATCTCCCTCATCTTGTTGAGGATGACCCTCATGATGCCCATGTTGTTGAGGATGTGCCTGATGGCTGGCACCTGCTGGGCCAGCCGCTGGACCTCCGGGTTGGCCAGGATGACCTGCCGGACCTTCTGGACGATCATCTCCGACGTGGGCACCAGTGGCCACTCCGAGGGGGCTTTCTCTTCCGTCTGGCACCACGCCTCTTGGCTGCTGGGGCTGAAGGACGGCGAAGGAGGCTCCGGGGTGCATTCGGGGGCCCGGAGCTCGTACGAATGCTCCCGGGCAGTGTCTTCGGGGTCCCTCTTGCGGATGACCAGGTGGACGGTCATCCCGTCGCTCACCCCACACTTGCGGAGGGTGTCCTGGTCCCTCAGGATGCGGCCGAAGAAGACGAGAACCAGTTGGCTAGCTTCGCAGCCGAAGCGCTTGGCAATGTCCTCCTTGAACTGCTGGATGGTGCTGACCTCCGGGAGCAGGAAGCGGGTGCTGGTCTGCGGGGACTTGACCGTCACGCAGATGAAGCTGGGGTTGGAGGCGATGACCGTGGGGCAGGGCGCCGGGGGGCCGTCCTCTTGGTCCTTGACCAGGGGCTCCATGACGCGCCAAGCAGCCGGAGGAGCAGCAGGAGGAGGGGGGTGAGAGGGTGCCGGGGCTGGCATCGGGAAGCGTGGGGTGGAAGGAAGGGGGGTCGTCCCGCTGTCTGTAGAGGAAGAGATACCAAGGGAAGGTGGGCTTCGGTGCTATTCTTTGGGCAACCCCTTTGGCCACCCCATAGAGTGAAATCCAGCCAACGGAGCTTCCTGGCCGAGCCCCCTCCTCTCCCCTCCCTCCCTCTCTGCTGCTTTCCTTCCTGTGGCAGAATGTGGGATGGCAGGGGGTCTCACTATGACAGCGTGCGATAATCTCCTAAATTATACCATTCACGTGGGCTAAGGAAAAGGGCCACCCCACAAGGACAGTGCCCACCATTGGCCCACCTCCATGAGCCGGGCGTTGGGTGCATCTGCGCTGTAGAATGAGTGCAGTTCAACAACGCTTGCAATAGCAGTCTCGCAATGCAATGCAATGCAGTTCTGAGAGATGGACAAGCCCTTCTCTGCCAAAGGGCCCTCGTGCTTCACCAAACTGTAGCTTCCAAACATTCCATGGTATTAGGCCAGGGTGGTTAAAGTGGTGTCAAACGTCCCTCATTCTACAGTGTAGATGCACCTTCAGGAGATTATCGCACGAGCCTGTTCAAGCGCTTGCTATTTCACTTTGGCTGCAATGGGATTGGTCTTTAGGAAGGACCTGGAGAACTCTCAAACACACAGCCCTGGGTCTCCTTCAACTGCAAACTCCTCAGCAGTCAAAGTGGAATAACAGCGTGCGATAATCTCCTAAATTATACCATTCACGTGGGCTAAGGAAAAGGGCCACCCCACAAGGACAGTGCCCACCATTGGCCCACCTCCATGAGCCGGGCGTTGGGTGCATCTGCGCTGTAGAATGAGTGCAGTTCAACAACGCTTGCAATAGCAGTCTCGCAATGCAATGCAATGCAATTCTGAGAGATGGACAAGCCCTTCTCTGCCAAAGGGCCCTCGTGCTTCACCAAACTGTAGCTTCCAAACATTCCATGGTATTAGGCCAGGGTGGTTAAAGTGGTGTCAAACGTCCCTCATTCTACAGTGTAGATGCACCTTCAGGAGATTATCGCACGAGCCTGTTCAAGCGCTTGCTATTTCACTTTGGCTGCTATGGGATTGGTCTTTAGGAAGGACCTGGAAAACTCTCAAACACACAGCCCTGGGTCTCCTGAAACTGCAAACTCCTCAGCAGTCAAAGTGGAATAACAGCGTGCGATAATCTCCTAAATTATACCATTCACGTGGGCTAAGGAAAAGGGCCACCCCACAAGGACAGTGCCCACCATTGGCCCACCTCCATGAGCCGGGCGTTGGGTGCATCTGCGCTGTAGAATGAGTGCAGTTCAACAACGCTTGCAATAGCAGTCTCGCAATGCAATGCAATGCAATTCTGAGAGATGGACAAGCCCTTCTCTGCCAAAGGGCCCTCGTGCTTCACCAAACTGTAGCTTCCAAACATTCCATGGTATTAGGCCAGGGTGGTTAAAATGGTGTCAAACGTCCCTCATTCTACAGTGTAGATGCACCTTCAGGAGATTATCGCACGAGCCTGTTCAAGCGCTTGCTATTTCACTTTGGCTGCTATGGGATTGGTCTTTAGGAAGGACCTGGAGAACTCTCAAACATACAGCCCTGGGTCTCCTTGAACTGCAAACTCCTCAGCAGTCAAAGTGGAATAACAGCGTGCGATAATCTCCTAAATTATACCATTCACGTGGGCTAAGTGCAAAGAGCCGGGATTCTTGCATACATTCCAAATGTGAATCCATCAGCAGGAAGCCTCCAGGCTCAGAGTGTCTTGAGGAGGTCAGGCGGGACCTGGATGGACGGATGGTGGGATGGAGAAATGGGAGAGACCCATGAAGGTCCTGCCTGCCCCCCCCCCCACTGGCCCAGGCTTGGCTCTTCTCTGTGAGGTCAGCGGCGAGGTCACAGTTCACCTGGGCTGACAGAGAGGAAGTGACCTGTGTGGGGGGAGGGGGCTTGACCAGCAGCTGAGGGGAAGCAGAGGAAGATGAAGGAACCTGCCAGGCTGTGAGCCAGCGGAACAAGAGACGGGCACCATCCCGCTGGTATGTGCACTCTGGCCTTGGCAAGCCTCGAGACTAAGGCGGGCAGCAGACCACTGGCCCCTTCCCACCTCAAAAGCGGCACCACGCCGACTTTGTCCCGCTCCTCCCTGCTGGACCTTGCCTTCTTCTCCTCCTCCTCCTCCTGCTCATCTTCTTGTCCCCTTCATCCCCATCGTCCTCCGGGCGGCCATGTCTGAGGGCAAGAAGGGCCCCGCCGGCCCTGCCAGCCCTCGGCTGGTCAAGGTGACGGTCAAGACCCTCAAGCGCAAAGAGCCCTTTGAGGTGTCCGAGGGGACGCTAGTCCGCGAGTTCAAGGCCCTGATCGCCGAGCGGTTCAAGACGCCGGCCGAGCAGCTCTCCCTCATCTTTGCGGGTGAGATCCTGAGGGACCAGGACACGCTGGCCCAGCACCGGATCGGGGACGGCGCCAAGGTTCACCTCTTCATCAAGGCCCAACGGAAGCCCCCGCCACCAATCACCCCAGTGCCTGGCCCCTTCCTCCCGGCACTCTTCCTCTCCCAGGACAGCGACCCCAACGACATGCTGGACCTCTTGGAGTGGTCCCAGCGGCCAGAGGAGCTGATGGCCTCCTGCCAGGACCTGGTCACCCGCACCATGGAGGAGCTGCTGCTCCAGATCTTGGGACTCGAGGACCTGGAGGTCCTGAGCACCAACCCATTGGTCCTGGGCTTCCTCTTGGGGGTCACCGGCATGAACATCCTGGGCTTGGATGCAGCCGAGGTCTCCGAGCTGGTGGAGGAGGCTGCGGCGCAGGAGCAGGAAGCCAGCCGGCAGGAGCTCCTCTCCGAGGTGATGCAGCACCCCTTCATCCAGAACCTCTTTGGCGACGCGGATCGCGTTCGGCAGATGATACTCTCCGTCCCGCAGGTCCGGCAGCTGGCCGAGCAGAACCCGGAGATCGGGCACATCCTCAACGACGCCGACTTCCTGCGGGAGATGATCGACGTGGCCACCAGCCCCGCCGTGATGGACGAGATCATCCGCAACCATGACCGGGCCCTCAGCAACCTGGAGAGCATCCCCGGCGGGTACAGCGCCCTACAGCAGCTCTACAATGACATCGAGGCCCCCATGCTCAACGCCCTCCAGGGTAACGGCAATGGCAACGGCAACAATAGCGGGGCTCTGGAAAGCAAGCCCAGCCCCGAGGGGGGCGGGCCCCTGCCCCGGACGGAGAACCGGGAGCCCCTGCCCAACCCTTGGGCCCTGCAGTCCAACAGCAGCGGGGACCACGGCTTCAACGGCGACGGGGCGGACACCCTCTGGTCGCCCGGCTGCGTCCACATCGCCCTCAGCTCCCGAGTGGGGGTGAACCTGACCAAGTCGGAGAACATCCAGAACATGGTGCAGCAGCTGACCGACAACCCAGCCTTCATGCAGAGCATGGTCAACGCGCTCTCCCAGCCGGACGGGCCCACTCAGGCCTTCCTGGCCGACGGCAAGGGCAGCCCGCCTCCCCCGCAGGGCTGGGCCCAACTCCTGCCCCCCAAATTGGCCCAGACCGAATGCGGGGCGCTGCTGAGCAACCCCCGGGCGATCCAGGCGCTGCTGCAGCTGCAGATGAGCCTGCTGGCCCTGCGGAGGGAAGCGCCGGACTTCATCCTGGCCTTGGTGGACCCGGACGCGGACCCCGAGAGCATGGAGGACTCGGACTGCGGGGAGGAGAGCCCCTCCTCGGACGTCGCCAGCCTGCTCTCGGCCGCCGAAAGCCTGGAGGTGGAAAGCGAGGGGTCCAAAGAAGGCAGAGGACGAGGGAGGAAGCGAGGACGGCAGGAGGAGGAGGAGGACGACGAAGACGACAACGACAACGAGGAAGACGCGATGGAGCAGCAGAGCCCCCTGGCCCCCCTCTACCAAGCCCAGCTGGAGCAGCTGCGGGCGATGGGCTTCCTCGACAAGGAGCAGAACCTGCGCGCACTCCTGGACTCCGGGGGGGACCTGGCGGCCGCCGTGGAGAAGCTGACCAACTCCCGGGGGCCCTAGCCGCCGCCGCCGCAGAGAAATTACCCCGGCCTCTTGTAGGGTCACCCCACACACACTAAAAGAAAGTCCGCTTGCTGGATATTACCCTGGCCTCAGAGCTCCTTGCCTCACGCCTCGTTTGTAAGGAATGCGGGGGGGGGGGGGGGGGCTGGACATGGACCCTCGAGCCAAGCCAAGCAGCACATTTATTTTATTTTATTTATTTATTTACCGTATATTCCGGCATATAAGACGACTGGGCGTATAAGACGACCCCCAACTTTTCCAGTTAAAATATAGAGTTAAGACGACTCCCATGCATAAGACTACACCTGCGTATAAGACGACCCCTGACTTTTGAGAAGATTTTCTTGGGTTAAAAAGTAGTCTTATACGCCAGAATATACTGTACTTTACTTGTATACCGCAGTTTCTCAGCCTAACAGGCGACTCAACGCGGTTTACAACAAAGGTAGTCAACAATATACAATTTAAAACCATAAAAGCATAATACACAATCTTGACACAACAATAACAACCCAATGCATCTCCTGACTAAAATCGTGATCCAGTTTCGTCGTCCATATTACCATTCATGTAATCATCACATTCATTGCACCGATGTGTCCAGAGGAGGGCGACTAAAATGATCAAGGGTCTGGAGAACAAGCCCTATGAGGAGCGGCTTAAGGAGCTGGGCATGTTTAGCCTGAAGAAGAGAAGGCTGAGAGGAGATATGATAGCCATGTATAAAGATGTGAGAGGAAGCCACAGGGAGGAGGAGAGCAAGCTTGTTTTCTGCTTCCTTGGAGACTAGGACGCAATGGAACAATGGCTTCAAACTACAAGAGAGGAGATTCCATCTGAACATGAGGAAGAACTTCCTGACTGTGAGAGCCGTTCAGCAGTGGAACTCTCTGCCCCGGAAGGAGTGTGGTGGAGGCTCCTTCTTTGGAAGCTTTTAAGCAGAGGCTGGATGGCCATCTGTCAGGGGTGATTTGAATGCAATATTCCTGCTTCTTGGCAGAATGGGGTTGGACTGGATGGCCCATGAGGTCTCTTCCAACTCTTGATTCTATGATTCTATAAAAAGAACGTATCTCGGCCTATCAGCCCACCAGGACCCTAAGATCTTCTGGGGGGGCCCTGCTCTCTATCCCGCCTGCTTCACAGGTGCGGCTGGCGGGGACGAGAGACAGGGCCTTTTCTGTGGTGGCCCCGCGGCTATGGAACGCCCTCCCCATGGAGGTAAGATCAGCCCCCTCATTGATGGTTTTCCGGAAAAGACTAAAAACCCTGGATGTTCGAGCAGGCGTTCGGTTAACTCAGTGCAATAAGTGTAATGATTGAAGGACTGGCAATTTGGACGACAAAACTGGATCGCGATTTTAGTCAAGAGATGAATTGGATTGTTTATTGATATATGTATTGTGGATCGTGTTTTTATGCTTTTAAACTGTATACTGTTGTTTGTTATAAGTTGTTGTAAACCGCGTTGAGTCGCCGGCTAGGCTGAGAAACGGCGGTATACAAGTATAGCAAATAAATAAATAAATACAACAGTCAACAATATACAATTTAAAACCATAAAAGCATAATACACAATCTTGACACAACAATAACAACCCAATGCATCTCATGACTAAAATCGTGATCCAGTTTCGTCGTCCATATTACCATTCCTGTAATCATCACATTCATTGCACCGATTAACCAAATGCCTGTTCGAACATCCAGGTTTTTAATCTTCTTCGGAACACCATCAGCGAGGGGGCTGATCTTACCTCCATGGGAAGGGCGTTCCATAGCCGAGGGGCCACCACAGAAAAGGCCCTGTCTCTCGTCCCCGCCAGCCGCACCTGTGAAGCAGGCGGGATAGAGAGCAGGGCCTCCCCAGAAGATCTGAGGGTCCTGGTGGGCTGATAGGCCGAGATACGTTCGGATAGGTAGGTTGGGCCAGAACCGTTTAGGGCTTTAAAGGCCAACGCCAGCACTTTGAATTGAGCCCGGTAGCAGATCGGCAGCCAGTGGAGCTGGTGCAGCAGAGGAGTTGTATGCTCCCTGCGCTCCACTCCTGTTAGTATCATGGCTGCCGAGCGTTGGACTAATTGGAGCTTCCGAGCCGTCTTCAAAGGCAACCCCACGTAGAGAGCGTTGCAGTAGTCTAAACGGGATGTAACCAGAGCGTGGACTACCGTGGCCAAGTCAGACTTCCCATCTCACCCAACGCAACACAACCTGCACAACACAACACACAGAACCCACATGACAAACCACGTCCCACCTCGGAGTTTGAGATCATCTGGGGAGGCCCTGCTCTCGACCCCACCACTGTCACAAGTGAGGCTGGTGGGGACGAGGAGCAGGGCCTTCTCGGTGGTGGCCCCTCACCTGTGGAACTCACTCCTGGGGGAAATCAGAACATCACCATCCCTCCTCTCCTTCAGGAGGAGGGTGAAGACATGGTTGTGGAACCAGGCCTTTGGGCAACCAGGCAATTAAATAAGACAACTAAATAAGACAATCAGATGTGTAAGATCAGCAGGATTGCCGAAGTGGAATCAAAAACAGATCTTTGAGCTAGTGTACACTGATAGGTAGGAGGAAGAATTAGGTTTGTATTGTTCTTATTGTTTTTATCGATTTTATAGATTTTATTGAGATAACGGCTTGAATTGTGGGTACTTTGAATTGTTGTACTTTTGTGATGATTGTTTGTGTGGCAGGCACCTAAGTGTGCCTTGCTGTTGTAAGCCGCCCTGGGTCCCCTTCGGGGTGAGAAGGGCGGGGTACAAGAACCCCAAATAAATAAATAAACACAACTCACACAATGCAATGTGCTGCTTGGCTTGGCTCGAGGGTCCGTGTCCCTCTTGTAGGGTCACCCCACACACACTAAAAGAAAGTCCGCTTGCTGGATATTACTGGACCCTCGAGCCAAGCCAAGCAGCACATCCCAAACCCTACCCACATGACCACACACACCTAGCACCACACAACACAACCTGCACAACACAACACACAGAACCCAACGTTTAGGTGTTATGATGTTACTGTTTTTTACCGTGTACTGTATTTTTGCTGTTCTGTTGTTAACCGCTGTGAGTTGTGAACCGCTGGGGGTCGGGACCCCTAGGGGGGTCGCGAGGAGGTGTCAGAGGGGTCACCAAAGACCACCAGAAAACACAGTATTTTCGGTTGGTCATGGGGGTTCTGCATTGGAAGTTTGGGCCAATTCTATCATTGGTGGGGTTCAGAATGCTCTTTGATTGGAGGTGAACTATAAATCCCAGCAACTGCAACTCCCAACTGTCAATGTCTATTTTCCCCAAATGCCACCAGTGTTCACACTTGGGCATATTGAGTATTCGTGCCAAGTTTGGTCCAGATCCATCATTGTTTGAATCCCCAGTGCTCTCTGGATGTAGGTGAACTACAATGCCCAAACTCAAGGTCAATGCCCATCACACCCTTCCAATATTTTCTGTTTGTCGTGGGAGTTCTGTGTGGCAAGTTTGGTTCAATTCCATCATTGGTGAAGTTCAGAATGCTCTTTGATTGGAGGTGAACTATAAATCCCAGTAACTACAACTCCCAAATGTCAAGGTCTATTTCCCCCAAACTTCATCTGTATTCATATTTGGACATATGGAATATTTGTGCCAAGTTTGGTCCAGATCCATCATTGTTTGAATCCCCAGTGCTCTCTGGATGTAGGTGAACTACAATGCCCAAACTCAAGGTCAATGCCCATCACACCCTTCCAATATTTTCTGTTTGTCGTGGGAGTTCTGTGTGGCAAGTTTGGTTCAATTCCATCATTGGTGAAGTTCAGAATGCTCTTTGATTGTTGGTGAACTATAAATCCCAGTAACTACAACTCCCAAATGTCAAGGTCTATTTCCCCCAAACTTCATCTGTATTCATATTTGGACATATGGAATATTTGTGCCAAGTTTGGTCCAGATCCATCATTGTTTGAATCCCCAGTGCTCTCTGGATGTAGGTGAACTACAATGCCCAAACTCAAGGTCAATGCCCATCACACCCTTCCAATGTTTTCTGTTGGTCATGGGAGTCCTGTGTGTCACCTTTGGTTCAATTCCATCATTGGTGAAGTTCAGAATGCTCTTTGATTGTAGGTGAACTATAAATCCCAGTAACTACAACTCCCAAATGTCAAGGTCTATTTCCCCCAAACTTCATCTGTATTCATATTTGGACATATGGAATATTTGTGCCAAGTTTGGTCCAGATCCATCATTGTTTGAATCCCCAGTGCTCTCTGGATGTAGGTGAACTACAATGCCCAAACTCAAGGTCAATGCCCATCACACCCTTCCAATATTTTCTGTTTGTCGTGGGAGTTCTGTGTGGCAAGTTTGGTTCAATTCTTTCATTGGTGGGGTTCAAATGCTCTTTGATTGTAGGTGAACTATAAATCCCAGAAACTACAACTCCCAAATGTCAAGGTCTATTTCCCCCAAACTCCATCTGTATTAATATTTGGACATATTGAGTGTTCGTGCCAAGTTTGGTCCAGATCCATCATTGTTTGAGTCCACAGTGCTCTCTGGATGTAGGTGAACTACAATGCCCAAACTCAAGGTCAATGCCCATCACACCCTTCCAATATTTTCTGTTTGTCGTGGGAGTTCTGTGTGGCAAGTTTGGTTCAATTCCATCATTGGTGAAGTTCAGAATGCTCTTTGATTGTTGGTGAACTATAAATCCCAGTAACTACAACTCCCAAATGTCAAGGTCTAGTTCCCCCAAACTCCATCTGTGTTCTTACATATGGAATATTTGTGCCAAGTTTGGTCCAGATCCATCATTGTTTGAATCCCCAGTGCTCTCTGGATGTAGGTGAACTACAATGCCCAAACTCAAGGTCAATGCCCATCACACCCTTCCAATATTTTCTGTTTGTCGTGGGAGTTCTGTGTGGCAAGTTTGGTTCAATTCCATCATTGGTGAAGTTCAGAATGCTCTTTGATTGGAGGTGAACTATAAATCCCAGT